ATCTTTAAATTCTCATAGTACTTCTGATCTGTCATGGACAGAAGAAGAGAAATAAAACGGGAGTACCAAGAATTGATGAATCATTGCGAAACAATTATTAAACAGCACTGTTTGTGCATGATTCAAACTGTAACAATACAGATATCCATCCTGTAACACAGTAGATAGTTTCCTAGAAAATGCCGTTGTGTGAAACCATGTTATATGAGACTAACAACCAATTGAATATGGAGAGACGAGTTCTGAAAACTTTAAAAACTAAATATTTTAATGGTTTCACTGTTGCTTCATTTAAAATTTATATATTTATTTTGAAACGTCACATACTTTTCTTCTTTCAACTCACAATTCAAAATGGGTATTTTCGTGTACAAGGAAATATGTTTTCTTTTAAAACTTGTTTTCTTCCTTATTTTCGTCTTTAAACTTGTTTTCTTACTTGCGAAATTATATTTCAGCTCATCACAATGATTACTCATAAAAACAGCAAAGTTAAATAGTAATATATGCCCAAAAAATATTTTTAAAAAGCTTTACTGTTACTTAATAAAGGCAGGTTACCAATGGAACACATAGAGCACAGAATACCAAGGAGGTTAGAATAGAAGGAGGGAAGACTTGCAATTTCTCCACTAAGAAAGAAACCCTACCTAACAAGCGACGTCCTTGTTTGTAATGTCAAAACACTGCATTGTGGCAGTGTTTATAAGCTGTTCCGTGAAGTATTTTCCAGTAACAATATGTTAAATTTATAATGATTCCTCGCTATTGCTAAATTTTTGCTTTAAAGTAATAAAGATGATATCCCTAATTTACTATGTACAGAAAATTTTTAAGAAATAGTCCGAAATCTAAATGGATATGTATAACACTAAAGCCTTTAAAAATGATGTTACTACATACTTCAAGCATTTTTTTAGGTTTTATTAGCAACCTGTTGGGTGTGCTTTCCAGTTTCTCCTTTAAGAAGTGATACTTCTGATTTATTCAGAATATATGATAATTTATTAAAGAATCATTTCATATACAAATGTTTAAATTATAAGAAAGAAAGATACTTTATTTTAGTATACTTAATACTTCAGCTTTAAGTTGTAATATACTAAAACAGAAATTCACATATTTTTTAATTGCTATAGCAGTTGTTGAAATAGGTAATTTCTAGGAGACTGTTACTTGATGCAAATAGTATTTCATTTTTTTTCTTTTTTAAAGCATTTATTGGCATAATTTAAATAATTCTTGATTTCAATTAAAAACCATATTTTATCTTTTATCCATTTAGCAATTTTTAGAAGTTTTTTAGGGGTGGCAGAGATTGCTTTTGTGGAAATTTGAGAAAAGTATGTCAAAAGGGACAGCTAATTAAGCGATGGTGGATTTAGATGGTTGGTCAGCTCAGAGCATCTCCAAGCTCCATTAAAAAAATTAAATAATTATTTTTTATATTTATATTATTTATTTTTAGCTTATTTAAATTATATTCTAACTTACTTCTAATGCTTTCCTTATTGTGGTCCTAGATTATAATATTAAACGTTTGGATTTTTCAATGTTTTTGCCGTAAATGTAGCTCCAAAAATATTAATGGAATTATATTTTTTTTAGTTTCTTCAGTTTTAAAATAAACTGAAATTTAATTTCTTTTAGACAATTAGCAGAAATAAATATTCGAATAATTAAAGCTAGAGAACGTAGTTAGATTTTCGTGGATTTGCTTTCAGTTTTCCTTCAGAAAATTCTTTACAAAGATATTCCTAAACTTTATCAGATAGCCCTCTCTTATTCTCCAGCATGAGTACCTTTAGTTTATCAAGGGGAAAGAAAACAGTGACTATAATTACTTACTAATTCGTCTGGCCGTAGAACGTTAAAATTATTTTGTGTATGTGACTGCTAAAACATGTAGTTGTTCATCTGCCTTTTTGATTGCAATCTGCGGCACAAAACGTATATAAATATAAATATATATATATATATATATATATATATATATATATATATATATATTGAATTATGTCATTCTTATATTCCGGTAAAGGTTTTATGTCTTTAGTTAATCTGCATGCAATAGTTGTAAAATTATCAAAAATTTAAAAGATTTTTAAGTTTGACTGAGGCTTATGAAATCGGCATTTGTTTACATTTGAAAGCTGTTAGTAGACTAGTAAATTAAGTCAGTTTCTGCAGCTTCAGTATCTTTCAGCCGAGAACACCAAAAGTAAACTTTCAGTTTTGTGCACCGAAAAATCTGCCTTCTCGCCTGCTGTCCAATTTGCTTTTTCTACGTAGAAATTCTAATTTAAATTTTAAAAATTATTTTTAACTGAATCTGGTGTTTTATGTTTTTCTGTATTTTACAATTTTTAATGAGGATGTTTTGAGTTTTATGTATTTTTGCCTTGTCGCGAAAGAAGTGAGAACTGAATTAATTAAATGAGAAATATATCCTTAATGAAATTCGAGGAAATAGGTTTAAATGAAATGCAAGAAAAATGTGTATAATTTAATAGGCCGTACATGGAAGTCATGTGGTGGCCACGTGAGATTTTTTAATTTTACTTACAGCTTGCTCTCGCAGAGAACGGTAATATGCAATTTTTTTAAAGCTGAATAAGAAAATTAATCCAAATCAGAAGGTGATACAACTTGGAACTTGGAGATTAGTTTACCATTTAAATGTAGTTTTTAACAATTTTTAAATGGAAATTTATTAAAAATAAAAATGATTGAAATAAAATTTTAAACAAGTTCTGAATATTCATTTAATTGCACTGATATTTTCTGAATCTCATAGATATTTTAATATTTTAATAAATACTCCTTCCTTCCTTATTTTCAGTTTACAAAAGCCTGAAGGAAGAAATTTAAATTTTTAGAAGCGCTGTACTTGCCAGCAGCAAATTTATATAAGTATCTTCTTGCTTTGAAACTATCTAACAACGAAAACATTTTGCAATTACAAGTAAAGCTCCAAACATGTTTAATTTTGCTGTGTAGTTCTTTTAGAAATGTTATTATTTCCGCTTTAATTATTTCAGTTCATTGGTTTACGTTCTGCACTTTTATATATAAACTTCAACTTTTGATATTCTGTGTAAATTTGGTTGCTCATTTTCAGCCCAATTTCTGGTAACTTTGAATAACCTTTGAATAATCTTTACGATGAATATTAAATTTAAGTATTCAGAGGAAGAAACTGAAATAACCTCAAGGATGGTTTAGCTGAATACAGGCACAAAATGGCCAATGATTATTAGCAATTTTTCTTCTAAAAGGAAACGGTGACATAAAGGGTACGGAAATTATTAATAATTCATTTTATTAAGACACGGAAACCTATTTGTAATGCTTTGGGAATGAATATATTCATGGAGAAGCGTCAGGTATTGGAAATTTCAGCTTGCGGCAGACTTTGTTAACAAATTCAATTTTCCTTTGTCATGTTTATTTCGGCAGACAGAGTTTAACTATCTCAATAAATCGTATGAAAAGTGCAATTTAAGTTTTATGAGAATATTGATTTCTGTGAATTATCCTTATTTGTTACGGGGTTTTTAGGTCAGATATGTAGAAACATTTCAAACTTCGTTCTAGCTTGATATTAACAACAGTTCTTGCAAGTAAAATAAACAACTGAAAATAACTGAAAGAGAACAGAGATACGCCTTGTAATTAGCATGAGAGGAATATTCCAAATCACAGTTCAAATTGCAAAGCAGAATTAATCGAGCGATAAACTCAATAACTAAACAGTCTAGAGCGGACCTTGAATCGGACTGACTGTGAACTTTTTTTACGGCTACGCCGAGCCTTTCCTCAAGAGAGAAGACATTTAGGTCAGAACAGAAGCACAAATCGAGAAATATTTTCAAGCACATAAGGTAAAAAAAGGACATGGAATTTGAATATCTGTCGGAAAACATAAATAGATGCACTGTTACATATGACGTCATTAATTGGTGCAAAATGTTGAATGGAATGTATTTTTGTTAAAACTAGAGCCCACTATAGAATATTATTTACTCTACACATAGATGCATACGAAAGATAAAACACGACAAATTAAAATTTGAATTAGTTAAAATAGTAACCTTAATTATTTGCTGATTATGATGAATCTCAAAAGCTATTAGAGAGAGAGAGAGAGAAAACGGTGTTTCATTTGTCAGAAGGATGTTTGTGCTTTCATGCCGTAATACAGGAACCATATTTAAAACAAATACTTTATCTATCTAATCATTCATTCCAAAATTTTAGACTATAACACAAACAATTCTAGATTATGATTTAATTTTCCGATTCGAAGACAATTTAGTAATTTCAGAATCTTCCAAAATTTGTACTATTTATTTTTGACATTTATCTTATATTTTTGCACTTATGTACCTATATGTATGAGAAAAGTCTATCACATATACAATTTTTTTTTAATAAATTCGAGTTTTATTCCCTAATATTTCATATATAAGTATATTACGTATGCATTACTTAAATATTGCGAAACATTTTATGTATTACAGAGCTTCATTACATGATCTCTACTTTGTACAATGTTTTTTATTCTTAGTCGTCACATTACATAACACTTTGAACAAGTCTCCGTAAAATAATAGACAAATTTCAGATTTATAGACTCATTCAGAATTACATAACACTTTTTAACAAATATTTAATAACTCATTTTATGCATATTTTATATTAAAAACAGACATTAAAGTTTAACCATTATTTCTTTTACTACATTACTCAAACTGCATACATACTCAGTAAAAAATTAAAATGACTAAAGGACCGATCGAAAACAGGAGTGTAATGCTAGCGTTCAAAGGGGTTCCAGTTAAAACAACATTTTACTCATTTTATTAACATTGGCAGGTATTTAATTAAAATCTGCAATCAAAAACTAGATAATAATGATTGAATACGTTGTAATAGTATATTTTACTATTTATTTGTGTAAATATAACATCTTTTATGATTCAGCTGAAACGCCTTACCTGTTTTTCTCATTTCTTTTTAAGATTAAAAAAAAACATCAGTTAAGAGCCCAGAAAAAGTCTGATAACGCTTTATACAAAATTTTCTTTAGGGAACCAGAACGTGCCGTGGTCGTATTCTCATTATCTTGAAATCTGATAAGCTATTTCTTTTAACATTGTTTAAACAATAACAAACTGACGCAATTTAGCACGACTCCGCTTACCGTCTTTATGTTAGCGCTCCACGAAAATTTATAATTTAGGTAATAAATAGTTAAGGTCGATAGGAATTCAGGCTTCACCGTAGACAGAGATGTATACGTAGCTAGGTCGCCAATAAAAGTATCGAAGTGAGCTATTAAATCGTTCAGCGAATGATGTTGGTTGAAACACATACTACATAGAAATGTCTAGTGAGCCCTCAGTTATACATTACGAAATTTGTTTTTCCTGGTAGATAAGTGGTATTTTATAAAAGAGTTACTGATAATATGAAACAATCTGGAAAAAGATAACAATTGTATTATAACAGGAAAAAATTTTATTTTATGCGACATCAAAGTATTTAATTTCTGTTCTTAAATTATATTTTGTACACTAATTTATTTGATTGAGGAGAATGTTTCAGCTCTGATATTTTTTTAGTCCAAAGGGACTTGAGTCCCGAAGGACTATTACTTTCGTTTTGGCATTTTGCGTCGGACGGATAAATGTCGGTTCACTTTTCAAACTGTAGCCATAAAATGTTAGAGTCCTGCATTATATTTGAAGAAATTAAATAATGAAAATCTGCGTAAATGTATGTATATTTCTCACATTGTCATAAAATAACGGCACATAGAGTCATCGAATTTTGAATAGGCGTAATCCTCCAACGAATATGAGGCATGTGGAAGACCAAATTTGAAATTTGAAATTTGTTTTATGATCGATTTCCTATTTTTTAAAACTTTGACGAATTTTTGATTAACAAACTCAAGGATTTCAAAGCGAGCAATGGCAACGTTGTGCAGAAAAAACATTTTTATCTCCAGCGCGTGAGTCTCTGTACCGGAAATTCTAAAGATATGCTCGTTTTAAAACTATTTTGCGATATTGCTGTTGCACTGGATCTTATGGTTTTAAGTGCGAGGAACATGATATTTAATAAAGAAAGGTAACACACAAAATGTTAAAAAAACGCCCCTTTGGACGTAATTTAAAATCTGAAACATTTCAGATTTTTTTTTTTTTTTTTTTTTTTTTTTTTTGTTTTGTTTTGTTTTGTATACAGATATATACTTTTACGTAAAATGTATTGCTGTTGTATGTTAATTGTATTAACAGTTAAACTTCCTTTCCTATCGCTTCTTAATTTCAACTTACCACTTCGGGCCAGAACGTAGTTTTAGAATCACGTCTGAATCTAATGAGGAAAAGCGGTATTTAACCGCGAAGTTCTACTGTCTTAGTGAGAGAGATACCAGATATTCTTCCTAGCACACGTCCGCCTTTTTAGGCTACTTCCTTGTAAGCTATTATTACGCTCGGCCGTACTTTAGGCCATTGATAGCTTCGTAGTCAATTAGTGTTAAGGGGCCAACTCTGTTAGAATTTTGATAGCTTCGGCGATATCTCTTTAGTTAAGATTAGTTTAGTTTAATTCTTAGTCTAAGTTGAAGCCCGAGTGTCGGCTTTATTGTACAACTCCAAGACGGAGTTCTGTTAAATCTTATTTGAATAATAAAGGGTCTTTTAACCCTTTCCAAGTTTATTTACTGTCTCACGAACTCAAGCGATTATTCGCTTACTAGTTCTTAAGATTCTTCACATCCAATTGTAACTTAAAATTACATAATGGAGAATTCTAAACTGTTTATCACACCTTTTCTAATTACATAATGGGAGTTACTATACTGTCAGCTTAAATATATATTTTTGAGTGTAACAGTAACTCCCTAAATTTAAATTCGATAAATTTAAATGAGGACTAGCAATGATGAATGAATTTATTATAAGCATTCATAAATGTTCAGTCATATGAAACTGAAACAATATATATCATTAGTTTAAGTGCAAGTTGCTTTTTAATAACACTAGTGAACAATTGCTTTATCTCATGGCTGAATATATGACAAAAAAATTAACTTTTATGAGCTCTTAAGGAAACTAAATATGGAAATTCTTTACCTCATTGAAGAATATGAATATGAATTTTCACATTCATGTTCTCTGCTAAGGTATATGAATACGAAGTTGTTAATTTGACCGTAAGTCATTATATACTCTTTACCACCAGGCTGTTGCTAATAAAAATTAAATAGATTCTTATAACTGCCAGTATCAGCAACAGTCTTGACCCTAAATCCTGTTTTGTTTTATTTGTAATGAAACATACTTACATTTAACAGGAACGACATCCCTCAATTTTGAGCTACATTACAGTCAAAGTAGACAGAAATCTTTTGAGTTTTTAAAGTTCCTTTTTAGGGATTCCTTACCTCATCACTGTTGAAATTAAGCACCAACATATTTTGAATTTCGTTTAAAAACTCATATGTTTTGCAACCAATAATGTAAAGAATTTCATATACACATAAGGGATTCAGCAAAATAAATATAATCTATTACAAATATGACTGGCAAATTTGAGAAATTTAAAACTCATTGTCCTCTTATTGCGATCAGAAAAGGAATTTACAAAGCTCTGTTGTTTTCTTTGGTTGTGGGATAATTGGTTAACTTGAGGACATTAAACTCTGAAAGACTGTCTATCAAGAAAATCGTTCATACTACCACAACATAAGCTTAGACAAGATCTACCTCAACATTTCAAACGAGGTGTATTGGAAAACATTTTTAAGGGTGTAGTAACTATTTGGGACTTAACTAGCCCAACTATCTCACTTGCCAGTTAAAAAAGGTGATACGTTGGCTCTATAAGGGAGTTGTCCCCACTTGAATAACTAAACTCTAAAAACAAGCAGACTCATATACAGGCTAACTTACTCTACTTCAATAATTGTATATATTATACCAGATATTCCAGAGATACCAGATATTAAAGTTAAATTAAAATAATAGAACACAAAAATGTCGATCATCAGGATAGGGTTGAAAGCTTCCTTAATACTATTAAAAAATATAATACATATTAGCTTCCTTAATACTATTAAAAAAATCTAATTTAATCTAAGAGAGGTTATGATATTCATTTAAGACTGCGACAGTGATGTTAATTTTTAATTTATCAATTAATATAATTTTAAGGAATCCTCCTTAAATAATATCTGAAAATATTTGGGCAGGACATGTTGTTCATATTAATCTACTTATTTCACCAAAAATTTAAAAGAAAAACTAAATTAAACTATATTCCTCCCTACAATTTACGTAAGCTATATGATTAAAAATACATCGATGCGCAAAACCATGACACATGATACAGGATGAAATTTTAATTGTACAAAATTGTGCATAGGTGCTTCTATTCTCTGTTGTTTCTGAAACCATAAGTTTTCTAAACGATTAAAACTAAATTTAATATGAGACTTTTTATGCAATAAAACAGTTATGATATGAAGCTTGCGTGCATTAATGTTAAACAGCAAATCTCTGGCTGCTTACTAAACAAACGCACTCATTTATGACAACTAACACAAGCGAGTTCATTGAATATAATATCAGTTCATTCTCACAGCTCACAGAGATAACGCAGCACATAAACATTTTGGCAAAACGTATAAAGCTTTCACTGAAATATTTAACTTATTTAGGTATGCGTCTCATGATCAGAAGTTCCCTCTATCACTATCAATGTATGCATATTTACATATTAGTATCAGACCTGTAAAACCAACAAAATGAATCGATTTGATTTAAATCCACTGAGAATATCACGTCAAACTTGGCATTTGCCGTTATCAAACTGAAAGCAGGAGTCGACAGTTTTAACAAGCTCGCTGTATGTTGAGGAATGTACAATGTAGCTTAAATGTGGCTGCCAAATGCATGAAGAGTAACATTATTGGATATTGCTGACACTGTAAGAGAGAAGAAGAGAGTTGGGTGTATTGGATTTTCTCATAGTTCCCTCTTTGTGTAATGCAAAGGTTATCGCCCCTTAACAAATCGTTGTTGAAATATGCTCATTTTAAAAAGTAAATAAATGCCTGAAACAGGCATAGGCAAAGTAAAATTATTATTAATCTGAAACAGATGCATGCATTACACATTTAACAAATATTGTACTAGGTGTAAACTTCATTTAGAAAATTACTGTACACATCAGTATGAGAAACGTAAATATAAATAAATTTCTAAACGCATAAAATTTTATGATATAAAATATTTAACAAGCCATTGTCGAATATTCGGAAGTATTACAAAAGCCATTGTGATATATATGTTAAAGTATTATTTAGAGCAGGGGTGGCCAAGACGTCGACCGCGAAGACATTTTAAGGTAGTCCGCGCGATCATCCCGATAATGACCTCGGATATTAACAATTTAATTTATGACTTATGGCATAGAATTAATGAATTATTTAAAATAAAAATTTACTGCAGTTTAAGCTTTAAAACCTAAAACAAACTGTGCAAAGTAATAGAATGAATTTGTCGTTTTACAATGGAGAATTAAATAGAAACAACTTGACAAAGTGGGATGCTTAAATTATATCCAGTAGGTGGCGCGATGTTAGCGACGCAGCGAGTCGACTAAAAGTCTGCTCGTCACACCCGCCCGTTTAATTTTAGTTCTCAATTAATCGTCTCACATCGATCCTCGCACAAAACACATCTCCTAGCTCAGCTATCCAACAGATACAAACACACATACATGCACTTGAACTCTGGCTCTCTCAGTGGAAAATTAAAGTAAACATCAACAAAACTGTTGCTATCATGTTTTCTAAGAAAAGGAAAAATTGAAGGAAATCTAGTGTTTTACAATACTGCCATCCCTTGGGCCAAGGAAGTTAAATACCTAGGCGTAGTACTTGATCAGAGACTCACATGGAAGCCCCACATTAAACACATAACTACAAAGTTTCGAGTCAGTAAATAAAATAACACTACACCCCCTAATCGCTCGAAACAGCATTTTAGCACTAGACCAAAAAAACTACTCATTTATAAAGCCATGCTCGTTCCAATAATTACTTATGCCTGCCCGGTTTGGGGCTATGTCTGTAATACTACACTGATAAGACTACAACGACTTCAAAACATCAGATTAAGACAAATCACCACTACATAGCACGTATTACATAAGAAACGAAGCCATACACAGAGAAACAAACACACCTCAACTAGTTGAGATTATGATTAAAATCGCTAAGCGATTCCTT